TGCATTTTTGCCTTTATCGTAGTAGTACTGTAAAATATGCCGTATTTTCTCTTTATTTTGCTCCATGTTTGCGACGCTATAACTCATGAACGACTTAAAAGAAACGACAATCAATCAAACACGTGTTAGCGCGTGAATGAAAAGCTTTCCAAAAAGGTATAGCATGACCCGATACGACGAATAAAATTAGAACTACGCCCTCTCAGCGCCAACTAGCGAAAATACTACTATAGCAAGACTTTTTTGGCAACCTACTGAAATAATTAAATAAAATTGAATATTGTGTTATATTGGAACTAGACATGTTTATAGTCCCATTTCGCCCGTTTTCGCTTGTCGGTCAGGCGATATGTGATTTCACCTAAGATTAGGAGGTGCCACGCCCATCGTCCAATTTTTACCCTGAATCCTCTCATACCACTCATACTCTGGTGTAAAATTTAATGTTTCTGGTGAGTGAACGGGGTTATCTTCCCATTTCATACATTAATACAGTGTCGATAGGAATTTGTACTGGCTTTGGTTTCGTAGCTTAAGTAGTTTATGGGATATGTGAATTAGAGGGCCGCTAGTGCCGAATTACAGTTAAATATCTTAATTTAGTGCTTCGTTTCGGCACCTTACCAAGTTTCATTACGATATCTCAATTTTTACTTAAGTTACAACTTGCACAGACAGACGAACTGATGGACATACAGACAGACATGCGGATTTCAACTGGTCTCGTCACCGTTAGCATAAATACATATAATTATTTTGCAACCACTGATATATATATTATATATATATATATATAGCAACATCCACGAACAATCCTTAGCAACATGTTGCAGGAGTATAAAAAAATTACATAAATCATACTCGTCTCAAGGATATACAATTATAATATGTACAAATATTTGAAAAAATATTAATAGACTTACGTCATTTTCAGGTAAATACATGGATTTTATAGCCTCCATAATTTGCTCGTCGGCCAACAATCTGGTTAGAATGCGAGACCAAAATCCTGAAGGAAAATATGTCATTAAAAGAATACGTCGTAGTCCCACATCGCAACCAAAGAGATTATTCGATGAATGTAACTTGAATGTTAGACTATTCGCATTTATTTTATTTGAACATCCTTTATTCAAGTTCCGAGTACGCGATCGTTGGAAAACCTTAATATATTCAGAATTAGATTGAGTATTTATTCCTTTTATTTGATTTTTCTTTTTTACTTTAACGGTGGTACCCTCATTAGCTGTACATTCTTCATGATGAGGTAACAGTGATGGTATCAACAATGTGCGTGAATCCCAGGTTAAGGCAACTTCAAATTTATTCAACAGACTTACGATATAACTAGAAATTTAATTTAAAAAAACTAAGTGAAAAATGTTTGTTTTTTAGATTCCAAAATTTAGCACACCTTCGGTTTTCCTTACTCTGGATTTTATCGCTACGGAACAGCAATCCCAAATCGTCCATATTCATAATGCCGGTCCGAGCAAACGGATTAATTTCTCGTACTGTCACCACATGGGCTAGCATATCACATAACCATTGTGGATCGAGGAAGTAGTAATCACGTAGTGTTGCATCATCATAATGTAAAATCACTCCATTATCATGCAAAAACATTGTTGCTTGATTAAGTTCGGCCGAATCACGGAAGCTTTTATAATTATGTAAGCGCATTTCTTCCGTGACAAGTTTACGATATTCTTCAGCATCAAGCACAGGATCAACGCCAGCTGAGCGTAAATTACCAGCAATAACATTTACTATGTCTTCCAGAGCAATGTAAGTGGCAGGTACCTTTTGCAACAATAGCGCCTCTTTAGACCCAGGTGAACGCAGCATAAAGGCGGTATCGTAAATGATATTCGCCAATAGACGTACGTTATGCATTGTTCTATTTATAAGGTCAAAGAAGTAATATAAAAATATTTAAAACAAGTAAGGAAGTGTATTTTTTCAGTGTAACATAAAAATGTCCGCATAATGCTAGGGAGCAAACTTGAAATCTATGGAGTAATTCATTAGACACAAGATATATAGTTCCCCCAGCAAAATTATAAATTTTCATATCGTACATAAACGCGATATAATAATCATTGGCAATGATGGCCTCAAACGAATTGACTTAATGGTTTTCGAGAAAGAGGTCGTATTCAAATATTCGATTAATAATGACAAGAGCACTGAGAGTATCAAATTGTCCTCCAATACAGCAAAGTTCACCGGTGGAAACGATAATTTATTTACTAGACGATGTACCTACACACCAGACGCCTAGACGCATGCCCTCCGATAATATAATTATTGTGAATAATCAGGTGTCTGAATCGCTGAGAGACGGAATCATACGTCCAAGCAAATCAGAATACGAATCTCCCATCGCATTAGTAAGTAGGTTGTGTTATGAGTACCGTCGTATTAATCAGAAAATAATAAAGGACCATTTTCCGATGCTTTTGATAAACGACGTTATCAAAAAATTGCAAAGTGCACCTACGTTCACAACAACTGGCTTAAGGAATGGATTTTCCTTGTGCCAATTGAAGCAAACTCAATAAAGTATACTTTATTTACTTCACATCAAGGGAAATATGAATTCCTTTTCGTTCCTTGGAATTTGTCGGCAGTTGCTCGAGGTACATGCTTTTTTCAGAGATTTAATGGAAAAAAATGAGACCGTGGTAACGTATATGGACGACCTTATCATATCTTCGAATGATAAAATTAAAAATTATTTTGGATAGGGCAGCGGAATTTAATTGGCTATTAGGTGGCAAATGTTACAATAAATACATCTCAAGCCAAAACGGAGGCTGCTGAATATTTCCCAGAAGAAAGGATTAGGAAGACTTTACAAAGATTTCTCCCTTGGCTTTCACGTCACTGTTGACAATCATAACTTTGAAGTTGTAGATAATTTCGTCTATTTAGGAACCAGTATAAACACCATCAACAATGTCAGCCTGGAAATCCAACGCAGAATAACTCTTGTCAATAGGTGCTACGGACTGAGTGGGCAATTGAGAAGTAAAGTCCTCTCTCGGCGAACAAAAACTGAACTCTATAAGTCACTCATTATTCCCGTCTTGCTATATGGTGCAGAGGTTTGGACGATGACAACATGGATGAGTCGATGTTGCGAGTTTTCGAGAGAAAGAAAAAGAAGACCTCCACTCCGTCGGAAGGACCATTCGTAAATATATTTTATTCGAAATTCGGATCTATTTTCTAATTATGCGAAAGTTGTACCACCCTGTGACAGAATAAATACGTACAATTTTCGTTCTTGCTTCCTACAACTCAAAAGCTAACGAATATTTTATTCGAAACTTGGCTTGAAAGTGCGAAAATCGAGTTACAGAATATAAAAACCAGGTAGTGAAGGACCTGGCTTCGCTTGGAATAGCGAAAAGAAGAAACGACTGGTGCAATGTTGTTAACTCGATTATAATCGCGAATGCACTGTCTGCAACAGGAAAGAAGCAGAAGAATAAGGTAGTCAAAATAATGAACGACAGCCGGTTTGCGAACCACTACGTTTTGGTTTGAGCCACACGAATGTGGGAGCGAACGAATAAAAATGTATGAACCAATAAACGTATCATAATGAACAAAACAAAAAGCGATCCTGCAACTAGAACAAAGGAACGGAGTAAAATGAAACAAGTTCGGACGAAAAAAAAAAATATATATATATAGTATGACATGTTCGGCAAAAGGTTTGCTAGAATAACGATAATCAATAATTATAGTATTTTGAAGTTGGGGTATTTTCGGCATTAATCTATAGTACTTCCATTATTAAGCGTGTTTTATTTAACCAGCAAATTAAGCTATTTGATTATTTTGTATAGAAGACTTAAGACATAATTATGTTGGCTTGTCATAAGCTATCATAGCTTGCATATTGAACTAGAGGCATTGCCAGGTCTTGCCTGTTTTCCATTCGCAATAGTTAGGTTTCTTCCAAAAAAAAAAAAAGTAGTTGGCAATAGCGAGAAACCTCATTTTGACAGATGAAAATGTAAACAAACCAAAATTACATATTTTTTTAACGAGTATTGAGTAAAATTAAGACAAATATGAACACCTGTTTTAGCCAAACTATATTAAAACTATACTATCTTTATATATAAAAATCACGTGTCACGTTGTTTGTCCGCGATGGACTTCTAAACTACTGAGCAGATATTGGTAAAATTTAACACTCTGTATCCAGATCGAGCCAACTTAGAAGATAGGATGGTGAAAAACATTCATAAATAAAAAATACAGTGAAAGCTCTGTTAAGCGGACAACTCTATTAACTGGACTGGGAGAAAGCAGCCTTAAATTCGTTATTTTTTACAATATAATCTATTTGTATGAACATATTCAAAATTAAATCTCAACTACAATCCTTTGGATTCCTATACCGACAAAAACGGTTTCGCCTTTATTCGTAAAAAATATTTTCACTGCATTGAATAGCTTATGACATGAATAATAGTATAAAATGTATACCACAGCAACGCGTATATATATACTATAAGTAAGTAAGTATATATATATATACGCGTAGTATATATACTATAAGTTCGGTAAAAAAAAACCCAATGAAAAATAACAACCAGCCGCGGACCCACCCACCTTAAATGTCCGGTCCCTTAATTGGGAAGGTGCCGCTGCTCAGCTGCTCACCCCGGAGGACGAACGTCTAGGCACAATCCGCATCAAAGCGAAGTTCTTCAACATATCGCTGATTTGCGCCTACCCCCCGACTCAAGAGAAGGACGATGTGACCAAATATGCATTCTATGAGCGCTTGGAACGCACCTATGAAAGCTGCCCCCGCCATGATATCTTTGGTACTACGGTCGGTAAATTCTACCTCCACGGTGAAACATCCCCAAATGGGTTGAGGCTGATCGACTTCGACGGGGCCCGAAATTCGCATCCGCCTCTGTGCAGCAAAAAACGCACGTCAACAAATACAAGGAAGATTCGACGTCGAGAAGCTGCAATCACAACAGACAGCCGAACGATTTTCCACTCGACTTGCACTCCTACTCTCTGAGAGCAATCGTCAACAACTCAGTATAAGGGAACTGTAGGTCGGCATTTCAAGCTCCTTACGTACAGCTGCAACCAAAACCAGTGAAAGTATAACGCCAGGAGAAGGCGAGCACTCGTCAACAGCTCGGTATAAGGGAACTGTAGGGCGGCATTTCAGGCTCCTTACGTACAGCTGCAAAGGAAACCAGTGAAAGTATAACGCTAAGAGAAGGTGAACAAGAATCCCCAATCGATGACAATGAAGCAAACGTTCCATTGCCAGACCATGCAGAAGTTCGAATAACAATTACCCGTCTGAAGAACAACATAGCGGTGGGGCGAAGCGGCGAAGAAATGATAAGGAACATGTTCAAGTTTCATCAAGATATTTTAATTTTTACTCAAGCAAAATAAAATAAGAATAAAAGGTATGGTTTTTTCGTCAAGTGGTGTTACAACTGCTGCTTTTTATATATAGTTATATTTTAATGAAGAAGAAAGAGAGTAGAGCATCAACAACTTGAATTATTATTTTGTTAATTTTGCGTTTGAGTGGCAATTTATTGCTTCATTAAATTGGCTTTGCCAATAAAATAGGTTCAAGTAATATTGCTAAACTTGAGAACTTCTGGAGTGACTGTAAGACGGTATTGGCAGCCGTTTCATTTCAAAATAAGAAGCAATTTTGATGATACCCTATTGGAAATCTGCCAAAAACTAGTTCAATCCATGCCGAAAATAATTGGAAAACTAATGAAAATCACGGAGGATAATATTAAAAACCCGTGGACAGAATAAAGGATAACTTGAATTTTTTGTTTTTATTTAGAAAAAAAAATATTTTTGATCAATGTGATTTTCTGTTTCGAAAAAATTTTTAATTTTAAAATTTATATCATGTATTGGTGTATGATTCTAATACTCTGACTCAAAAATTGTCGCAAACGTTCAATACTTGCCTAAATCCAATACAATTTATATCATATATTGGTAGATGATTGGGGTTCAACAAAAAAAAAATTCTTTACAATTTTCTTAAGTATTTTTAAAGATATAGTTTAATTTTAGCAGTTCATTTACTCACCGGCAGCTAATTTCTATTGAGTCAATTACACGAGGCAGTCCGATTTTTTCTGCATCTGGTATAGCAATAAATTTTTCACGTATAATTTGCTGTAATTCCTCTGCTTGTTGTGCTGAAAAAGTTTCACCGACGGCGTCGAAATGTGTACCTACAATAATTACGGCTGAATTTGGTGCGCGAGCCTGTAAAAACGAACAATTAATTTCAACACAGTTGAAGTGAAAAAAAGTATAGTAATAAACAAATTAATAAATATATTATGTAAATACGTGTAAATGAGTACACTACAGTGACGTCGCCAAATAAATCCACACTGCGGTTTTAAAATTCTAAAGCGCCTAGACGCCACTTCCTTACCCCCAAGATCACCCCTAGACATCCGTGAAAAAAAAATCCTACAATTTCACTGAAAAGGACTCCAGAATAAGATCGAGGAGGAGATGGTTGCATATATGAGACGAGAACACGTATAGATAGGCCTATATGAAGGCCTAGAATTCATACTACAAAACACAGCGATGTCGAGCTCGAAATATTATATTTAACACAATATATGTATCTACATCATCCCAGTTACATGTTTCTTAGAGATATCGATATAATAGCCATAAAATCTTATTGCTAGCTATAAAACTTTTTTTGCAAAAACATTAGATTTTCAAATGTCTGGTGATTTTATGCTTTATATGTTGGTCAAAATAAGCTTAATATTTTACCATGAATATATTGTAGTTTGATGCCAAAAGCTGATGAGTGTGAATTACCCCAGCCCTCAAACACTACAACTGAAGTCAGACCTTCACCTTATACCCTCGGTGCACCACTATCAGTATAATTATTATAATCAGTTCCGCCTTTTATATAGAATATTTCTTAGCCCAATAGCATTCGGTAATAAAAAATAGTGAAATCGTATGTAGGCTCTCATTTGTGTTAAGTCGATTTTAATAAAAAATATCTCGGATATAAAACAAAATGTTGTCATCACTTCAAATGAGCCCACTAACTCTAATATGTATAAGAAAGTGAAATAAAAAACAGTGTATGACAGTAAGTTTTGATAGCTTTCACATTGGATAATTTGGATTTCCCATTTTTTCCCCATTTTCCCATTATTAATATATTTCTCAATACAAATAGTATCAGCCCAAAAGCTCAAAATTACATAGTATCACAGTTAATAAAGTGTAATCGATAATTAAATGTAATTTTTTTATGTACCTGTATGTTTCCTAACCATTGAAGAATTTCCGAAAGTCCTTTGTGTCCATCAGTTATCTTCCAAAGTACTAAATACAAACTGCGTTTCGATAAAAAATACTGATGTGTTGCATAATACCTTTGAATCCATCCAAATATTTTATGATTATATTCCAATATTTCAATAAATATACCCACTCTTTTTGTCCACCGAAATCCCACGTTCGAAATATTACTGGTCCATGTGAACCTGGTGCTTTCTTGCGCTTTTCACATACCCAAGTCCCAATATCAACGCCAACCGTCGAAATATTGCCCTTATTATTTAATTTGGACGTATTACGCTTATGACCCATACGTTTAGTCCAATGATTTTCTGAAGCACGTGTTTTCTGTGATCCACCACCCTGTCTTAGGAGATCTAATAGTGTTGTCTTTCCAATACCTTGTACACCTACTACCATTAGCTTCATACGAGCGTAAATAACCGAATTTTCATAAATTGACTTTAAATAACCAATAATATCCATTGTTTTATACTTTTTACTTTCAATCATAGATTTTAGAGGTTCTTGAAGCAAACAACCACGTGTGTTTAAATTCCACAAACGCGAAAGAAGGCCGAGATGCGGTGGAAGATCGGTAATATTCACATTGCCACTTATGTTCAAAACACTCAGACTATTTAACTCGTGCAGTGAAGTAGGAATTTCCTGTTGAAAATATGTAAGGCATTTTATGCAATTAATTAAAACGAAACTTACCTTGAGGCAATTATTGCTTATATCCAGCATAGATAAATTTGGAAAAATCAATTTGGATTTGTTTACACCCACAACACTCCAATCTGCATCATCAGATTCATTGAAAAGAGTAGTGACATCATCAGTAGATAGCTGTATACGTGTCAGAAGGTTATCAGCTAATATTAAGGTGCGCAAAGACTCAAGTTTTAAATGGCGGCGATGTTGACAAACACTTTTAAGTACTGTACTACGAAACGTGGTAGTTTTACCACTAAGTACTGGTTTAACATATGCATTCGAATCATCAGCGGATCCCGTAATAGGTTGATCTATAAAACTATAACATAACAAATGCGGATCGGAATCATTGGTGATTCGTGGTAAACTTGGCCAACAAGAAATTTCATTATGACTTAAATCCAATTGTTTAAGAGTTGATGGATAGCTTGTAACATGACCCATTGATCTATGATAAATACCAAGATAATAACCTTAACAATATACCTTTATCAAATTTATGTATTTACCTCAAGCTGTTATATGACATATTAAGTCGAGTTAAATTGGCCGCCAAACAGGGTAGTGCTACTGGTATGCTGGTAAAAAGATTGTTAGCTATATTTAAGCTATTTAACTTTGAAAATCCCTCCTCCTGCTTGGATTTATTCCACTTCATTTCATTATCAGTTATTTCTAACGAATTAGCCCAAATGTTACGATGTATAAGTTGATGAAAATCTAGTTGTCGTTGTTTATTAGAATTATAAGCATTTGTAGGATCAGCACTAAGAAATGAATCTGTTTGCAACTTTTCTAAGCTGAGATGAGATTTTAGAGCCTGCTAAAATTAAACTTAAATAAATAACAAGTAAGATAGGGCTAAGTTCGGCTGCAGCCGGACACTATACTTCGCAATTTGTAGCAAATAAAGCTGTGTAAAACATTTCCATGTACCAGACACCTACACTTACATTACAAAAATTTTACAAATGACTTATGAACAAAATCAATATATCCAATAAATATAAGTAAAAGATAAGGAGACGAAAAAAATTTTAGTAGATGAACAAAAGCAAGGAAACGTTTAAACCCATATCATACCGTCCCACGACAGATGAGCTTAAGTAAACGGAACGGACCCTGATTTTTATCAGGACTGTCAATAACCACCATTCCTTCAAATTCCTTCAGGAACGTTTTCAGCCGTTATAACAACAACCTATCATATAATTTTTGTGCCAAATAACATCATGTTCAATAAAATAAACATATGCAGCTGTTTAATTGCATTAAGGTATTTCAGATACATATTTTTCAATATAAAGTCAACCGGAGGGACGAAAGTTTAATAAAATGCGGTGTATGTCTTGATCTCAAAAATTTCTATACAAATTTTTTTCGATATAATCATTGATGATTGAGTTATATGCTACTGTGATTAAATTGAATTTTGTCCATTTGCTCTCCTTCAAAGTAATTCTCTTCCGCTGCAATGCACTTATGCCAACGAATTTTCTAGTCGTCATAGCACTTGCAAAAATGGTCCGTCGTGATGGCTGTCAGAGCCTTCTTCGAATCTGCTTTTATATCCTCAATTGAGTAAAAACGGTGTGGTCGGAGTGATCATGTGAATGTGCTGAACAGCCAGAAGTTACACGCAGGTAAATCAGGCCGCAACCACCGGGCAGGATATTAGGTGAAAATGTGGCGAAATGATCACGAATAACCAATGCAGTATGAGATGGTGCATTATCGCACTTCTTTGATCAATAAATTCAGACATATAAAAATCGAAGAATTCACTTATAGAGCCTCACAAAACGACGAGTATCTCAAATATGAATGAATATTTTGATGTGAAATTCAGCATACAGAAATACAAATTTACCGATTCAAAAAACAGTAAGAACTAAAAATTCACCTTTCAATTTGATCACAGTAGTATGTAGTGTCAAGGGTACCAAATATACATATGTTGTAGATGTTTTTAATATACATACATACGTAAATACTCTATTTTTATCTCGATTAACACATTGCAATAGTAATAAAACGTATATATTCTTACCTGCATTGGAGGCACAGGCAAATCCCTGAGCAAATTAAAAGCTATATTCAATTCTCGCAACTTTGGCGCTTTCCACATATCAAATGGCATTTCTTGTAGCTTGTTATTTGAAATATCTAAAATCGTAAGTGATGGCAAGTGGAATATTTCGGTAGGTATTGTTACTAATCGATTATCTTGCATGAAGAGCTCCTCAAGTACAGGACAATTGTAGGAATATTTAGCGGTATTAAGTGATTGCTCAGTCGAAGGTAAACTGGAAATTTTATTCTGAGCAATATTTAAATATCTGTTAAATAGGCACAATATAGATTAAATATCATTAGTTTATCCGTGGTGAATACATTTATGAACATTAAAATACTTACTTCAAGCTAACTAATTTAAAAATTTCCATGGGAATATTGGACAGACTGTTATGAGAAAAGTCTATGCGCGTTATGGCAGTCAATGTAATTTCATTTACCATTGGATGTCCTTGAAGCTTGGGATTCAATTTTAGAACGCCATTAACCAGCCAATTAATACTACAAGAATATAAAGTATAACTGATCTGACGAATTTAAGTCAATTGTTATTATATAATTATATTATACTAATTACATCTTATATATGTATATTGTGACGAGCACGGATGATAGAACAAAATCGAATCGACGATGTCTGATGATTGTTCAGAAGGTTACAAGTCCGCAAAATTCTCAACGAGTTGCACAACGGTCTAAGTGGCGGGCATTTGAGAATCACAAAACCCTTGGATAAATTTAACGAATGGGTTTATTGGGTTAGTTGTCGTCAATCGGCTGAGGAAAGAATTGCCAAATATGCGGAGTACATTGTGGCTAAGCAGTCAAGATTGAGAAGACATGACCACATGAAACAGTACGATTCGGATGTGCACATTTCTCACCAATAAATTAGGGAATAGACATCTTTTAGTGGAATTTCGTTTTGACCAAAATCAATGAACTTAACAGAAACTGGGTATTAGGAAAACGGATGGAATTAGCTCCAATAAGAATAAATCGGGACGATCATACTTAGGTCGATGGCAGCAAAACAAACACAGATGATAGAACAAAATTGCCAGAATTAAGTACTGTATAAGGGCTGCCGGAATGTGCATCAGACAGAGTTATAATTACAGTATTGCTTAGTAAAGAGCCTTGAGTAAAAAGTTGTATTCTGGAATAACTAGTAATAAACGTTAAGTTGTTTTAGAATAAGAAATAAAGTTGAGTGTATAGTCATTAATTTTTGACTTTTTTTAACAATCGAACTCAAGAGTGAGTTACAAAGTGAATGATTTATCGATAAATCCGTTACAATATTATTTGGCACCTACCTAAAGGGCAATTTCTTAATTATAGTGAACTATACAACTTCTAATATTCTACTATGGTATTAAAAATAATAATAATGAAAAAGCAATATATCTATTATTGCAAACTATATTTAATGGTTTTTCTTTACAATCAATCTTTCCATCCCTGGATTATTTACTTTTGATAAATAACTAAATAAAATATTCGTTATGGAAATATGTATACACATATTTTTTCCTGAATTTCCATATATTTAAAATCTGTTTATATATTTATAAATAAATTTCATGAAAACTCAATCAGGATGAATGGTAGTATGACGTTAAATAAAAAAAAAAATAACAAATAAAATTTAATTTTAGACATAAATTTATTCGAAAGGGGATAAAGTCTACTATATTCTTCGATTGTTTCYTTTACAGTAAATAACTTTATTTCCCGCTGGAGAACCTCGTTTCTCACACAAAACGGAACGCGTACTAAGGTGATTAAACATAAAATCAGATATTTGTACATTTACAACTATTTTTGGAAGATATTTTTCTATTATCTAGGTATCATGTTCCTTCTTAAACTGCCTGATGTTATTGTTGTAACGCAGTATTTAAACCCTGTTTAGAAAAAGCGCATAATTAACTGCTATCGAAATTACCTAATAGAAGACCCTGGAAACGAGCCTTTTCGATGGTGTCGCTCCAACCAGAAATGGGTCTTAGTTAAGTTGCCATGGTAGGCATAAAAAAACATATCCAAGACATATTTTTATTGCAAAAACTGCTGGCAGAGGAATTCGTTGTGGTTCTTAAGATTTTGCTCGACCTATCATTACTTTCATTAACTCTCTACCAGTGAATTGCGTACTTGGCGTCGAAACAATACCCATCGCTGACTATAAGCTTGAGTTTCCGCGTAATACTGTAATCCCTACTTATCCAGAACAGACCCCAGTAAGTTGTGGATAGTTGATTATGTGCTTTCCGCCAAAGAGAGCTTTCACTATAAAAACAACAACATCAATTTATAGGCTTTCGCCTTATTGAGAACATCTTGAACCTTCTCGTCGGTGAAAATAGTCCTTTTGTAAGATACCAGGAATTCAAGTTAGAAAACATTGGCTTCTCACCCTTTAACAGCAGAATTACTTAATATGAAATAAATAAAATTCCGTATACAAAATGTTACACTCAAAGTAAAGATAGATTCGAAAATACAAACATTAGCTCTTATTTCAACGCAAATACATAAATATATACTATTCAGACTCACCGCACAAATGACAAATGAACATTTGTATTATTGTGCCAATCTATAATTGTTGGAACATTAGGAAACATTGCGCTGTAGGAGATGTTTGCCGCTGAAGGCAGAAAAGCATTCACATCAATAGGTTCAGGGAGCCCCTTTTTGTGAATTTTATAATCTGAATCAGGATGTACACGTTGGGCAAGCAAACTATTCAATATTACTTCATCCTCCGATGAGATAGCCACACTTAGCGCCGTGCCATTTGCATCGCGAGCTCCATATCTGAGAACATGAAAACAAATTATAATTATTTGTTAGGATAAAGTTAGTTAGTACAAATTTACTTTAAGAGCAATTCAAGCATCGGGAGAGAATGCTGTTTGCACGCCTCTGTAATTGGAATATTACTCAGCCCATATATTTCCTCAATGCACTTTGGGTCATTTTGATCCTCAACTGGTTTAGCTATAATATTGGGATTGGCCCCATGTTCCAGTAACAGTTTGGCAACATCAATAAAACCACCCCGCACTGCTGCTAAAAGTGCGGTTTCACGTGCTGCTCCGCAAAGTAAATTTAAATTAATTGGACATATTTCAGATTCCTTCTCCTCCTATCAAATAAAGAATAATGTAAAAACAAGAGCAACTTCTTTGCAGTACTTATTATTATTATTACTATCATTATT